CGGCGGACCCCCGGCCCCAACACGGGAAGGAGGACGGCAAAGGAGCGGATTCAAACCCGTGTTGGCTCCGGGAACGGGCTCCCACCGGCAGCTCGGCTCTACCCCGGTGGGGGGGACGCGCGGTCCACGCCGGGGTCCTGCTGCCCGGGCCGCCCCCCCACCCCCAACGTGGGAAGCGGTCATCGTCCCGGTGTCCTCCACCGTCACACGAGGCTGCAGATGAGGGACAGCATCCTGCTCCCTGCGCGGCACCGGCAGCTGGCGGTGGTGATGGCGGGGCTGCGGGGTGGTGAGGGCACAGAGGCGTTATGGGGTGTGCGGGGGTCCGGTGGGATGCAGAATTGGGGGGGATTTCATACAGGGGTACTTGAATCCACCCTCAGATCTGCTGCCCATCTGTAAGGCTGGGGTTTGGGGCTGGCTCCAAGGTGCCAAAATCCCGAGCCCCAGTGATTTTGGGCTTGGGGACACGGCCGTCGCGAGGAGCTGGGGTGTCCCAGGCCCTGCCGGGGGGGTCTCCGTCCCTGATCCCTCCCCTTAGGGGACACCCTGGAGCCCAGACCTCCTGCCTGCTCCCTCACCCGCTCCTCCAGTGCATCACCTACTGCTCCGGGGACCTCAGCTGGAGGGTTTGGCGGTCACAATGCCCTGTGAAAACCACAGCCTTCGGCTCGCTGGGGAAGCAAAGCTCCAGTTGTGTTTGGTACTCACCTGGCCAGAGGCTGCCGTGGCACAGCAGGGCTGGGCAGGGGTAGGTGATGGTCAAGTTACTGGGAGCAAAGTGGAGATGGCTCATGGGGAGGTGATGGAGAGCACCTGTGTGACAAACTCTCCCCTACCACATCATTACCGAACCCTACCCAAATTCCAGCTTCAGTTACCCCAAAGGCACTCCCCAGAATTACACATCTTTTAAAATCTCTGGATTTTCACCTTTAATCACGAGAAGTCCCTGGGGTGATGCCACTCACTGCATTATGTTTGCTGCTACTGCAAGGGTATTTGGGTGCAAGGAGCTGTATCGGTGTGCCTCCCCCTCACCCACCCACCTGTTAGCATGGGGCTGACTGTGATACCCTGGAGCCGTTCTGGGACCATCCTCATCCTTCGCAGAGATGTCCAGGTGTCTGTGTGGGTTGCGGAGCTCCGGCGCAGGGCCATCAGTCAGGGTGACTCCTCTGCCTCCAGGGAGGAAAGGCAGATAGGCAGGAGTCCCGTACTAGCCCATGCCGAAGTCTTGGCTCTGGCAGAAATAGGCTGTATGGCTGAAGCAAGTTGCCTGGGTTTTTGTTTGCACTCTCTTATCTGAACAGCTGGGACGTGCCCGCGGCACAAGCACATACAGCTCGTCCCCAGGCTGGGCTTTCCCCCCACAGGACCTGGGGTCGGAGAAAGGAAGATTTATCTCATGGGGGATGCTGGGAACTCATCCACAGAGGAAGGAGGGATATCATGGCAGCTTTCCTACTCATGCCTTGCTCCCCCGGAGCCGTGTCCTGCTGGCGTGGGGCAGCGTGGAGCAAAACCGCAGCTGGCCGGGTTCCTGCTAGGATGGAGGGATGGCCTGGGGTTTACATGTGCGTGTCCCTCTGCCCACCAAACCCTGGTGCCTCGCTCCACCAACAGCCATCTGGGGTGTCAGTCCCCAGCACCCCGATCTGCCCCACGCCCCCAGGGTGATGCTTACTGGGGCTGGGGTGGGCACCCAGCCACCCCCACAGGAGAGGCGGCCATGGAGGCAGAGCTGGTGCTGGATGGCATTGGTGAGCTTGTGCACAATCCGCTCGTGGGCAGCTCTGGGGGTGTCCTGCAGAGGAGACAGCCCACGTGGGTTCAGCCAAGTGGGTCTGTCCCTAGGGCTGGGGCAGTCACCCTGTGATGCATGGGAGGGTCCAGCCTCGGGGCTTTCCCTGGTGTGCCTTACCTGGCAGTGGGAAAGCAAAGTCAGGGCCTCCTTGCAGTGCCCGATGGCTTTCTGGGGGTCTCCCAGGTGGAAGCAGGCTACTCCCAGTCCCTCGCATGCTTGCCACTGCCCCTGCATATCCCCTGGGAGGTGAAGGGCAGCATCAGTGCTGGCCCAGCACATCGCAGCCCAGGTCCCAGGGAGGGAGCATCACAGGGACGATTTGCCTGTGCCTCCCCTTACCCGAGTCCCGGAAGGCTTGCAAGGCGTGCAGGTAGTTCTCTGTGGCAGCCTCGTGGTTCCTGAGCCGGCTGCAGGTATACGCCAGGTTACCAAAGCACTGCCCCTGCGCCCTCCGGTTCCCTAAAGCACCTGGAATTGGAAACATGGGGCTCCATCCTGAGCCGGCACACCAGGCAAAGCCGAGAGCAAGAGATACTGGTGCGACCTACTGTGCAGTGCCGCCACTCGCAGGTGACAGCCCAGCATTGTGCCAAAGCTGCACAGGGCGTTGTGGGCAGCACCCGGGTTCTGCAGCAGCGCAGCCTCCCTGCACCGGTCCGGCTTGCCACCACAGAGGACAAGGGCCCGCTCAAAGCTCTTGGCAGCCAGGGAGAAGATGCGGAGTTGGGAGTAGCCAAGGCTGATGTCATTGTAGAGTTTCCCTGTGGGACAGAGAGGAAAAGCTGGGTGCGGGCGCTGCTCCCCAGGGGACCGAGAGGAGAGGATGCGGCACGGCATTACCTCACAGGGCTGGGTTGGGGATGCTCTCGCAGAGCGAGTGGCACTGGGTGAGAACGCCCACGATCTCCGTCGCCCTGAACCGTTGGCTCAGCAGCATGGAGCCGCTCGCCCTGCTCAGAGCCACCGCGGCAGCCTCGGTGCTTGCAGCCACCGCATAGGTCCGCGCGGCATCCAGAAAGCAACACACGGCTCAGGCTGGGTCCCGCATCCCCAGGTAGCAGCAGCCCATCTGTATGCAGGTCCTGCTCGGCTGCCAGCCTGCACCGCGTGGTCATGGCTGATGGCTTTGTCAAAATACTCCAGAGCCTTTGGAAAGTCCCAGAGCCCTTCATGAGCCGCCCCAATATTGAAATAAAGGTCCCCCAAGTGCTCCCTGCTTTCCCCCTCTGAGGGCTGGGACTGAAGGAGGAACTCAAGGCCCCTTTTGGGCTTCCCGGTCTCCACACAGGCAACCCCCAGGTTGAAGGCACAAGCCCTGCGGAGCTGGGGGCTCGCCGTACCCCTAGAGAGGAGAAGCGCCTTCCTGAAGCACCCCACCGCCTCCTGTGCGTCACCCAGCACCAGCGCCCGGCGCCTGGCTCGCATGAGCCCCTTGATCTCGGCTGCCTGCCCCGTTCCCTCATCCCCTCCCTCCTGAGCATCTTCCCTGGTCTCGGGCTTCTCCTTCCCTTTCTTCCAGCTCTTCTTCTGGATGGCGGGGGCTGCGGGGACTGCGGGCTGGGCTCCTGGGTTAGCAGCCTCCTCGGAAGCCATGGGCAGGGTGAGTGACCTGCCGGCAAGAGAGAGAAAGACACAGCAGGCAGCCTGAGCCGGCATGGTCCTGGGATTTCTTGAAATGAGCAGCGTTATTTTATATAATTAAAAAAAAATAACTTAGGCCTTGTAGCCTGTTTGCGGCTAAAGTTTCAGGGGGGAAAAAGGCCTTTTCATGGAGGACCCCAGCGCAGTTTCTGCACTTGGTGCCTGCCTCCCGCAAACCTTTGTGGCTGCTAGAGAGGAAGGGGGGGGTCACTGAGGGAGGAGGGGGACACACACACCGCAGCACAGGGTGGGCATTCCTAGGGTCTCTTTTTGAGAGGCAGAATAACTCGTTGCACACGCTTACTGTTTGCTCTTTAGGTGCAAAGGGTGCTGAGATCGTGGAGGGGAGGGACGGGGCATCACCACCGCTTGCAGCCACACCGCTGCTGCAAACCACTGCTCACCACTGCTCTCCGGACTGGGAAGGAGGGTGTCCCAAGGGCCTCCGAGTCCCGCTGGGGCTGGGCTGCCTGGAAAGCCACCCGGAGCGGGTCGCAGCCTCCCTGGGGCGATGGACGCCGGTGCCTGGGCCCTGGTGCCGGAACAGCTTCTGAGCACCAAGAAAACATCAGGGTCGTGGGTGGCACACGCAAACTAGGACAAAGCCAGCTCTCCTCCGGGGAGGGCACATTCCTGCAATGGCCCGGCTGGCTCCGGTTTCATCTCTGTCACTGGCACGGTGTAAGGTGCCATGGTAACCTGGTTCAGCCAGAGCCAGCCATGTGCTGGGTGGCACAACCGGCCCCTCGCCGTCCCGGCGAGCTCGTGGCAGGCACCGCGGAGTTGGTTAATGGGGGGGCGCGTTCGTGGTTCGGGAGCAGATTGATGTATGGGCATGGCGCGGCGAGGGTGAAGGGCACCCCGGGGCCGGCCGGTACATCCCGGGGTTCCCCCAACAGCCCCCGCCTGGCCCAGCCCGGGTGGGCAGACGCCGGTGGGGCCCGGGTGGGCTGACAGCCGGGTGCCCCTGGTGTGTGCAGGTCCCCTCTGCCACTCCGGGCTGCGTCCCCCGTGGGTGGGTTGATCTCTGGGTGTGCCCGCACCCCAGGATGACCCCTGCACCCGTGGGCTCCCCCCGCACCCCGGATCGCGCTGATCTCCGTGCGCTCGCCGGGCCCGGCCCCGCCCGC